TTAAAACATATAGTATATAAACAATATTTTTCTATATATAAGTTTCTATATATAATTGTTTAAATTTTTTAGATGAATTCATGAAGAAAGAGATCTTAGAGTATGAGATAGGGAAAAGACATCTGGCTAATATAATGGGCGAAGATCCAGAATCTTTTACCCAAGCAGATATAAATGTACGCAATTATATAAAAAAAAATCATGCTAATTTGATAAATATCTGAGTTAATATCTAAAGTCTCATGTGATTGTTACTTTTAGAGATCAATCCAATATCTATTTCCATCGGGACTATTTGAACGTAAAGCTCGGCCAATAATGGAACATCCAGAAAAGATTTTTCCAAACAGGAAAGCAGCAGAATTTGATGAAACTGGAAAACCCTTCCATTCTATGTTTTATACCTCAAAGCCAAATTATTATGAGACACTATATGTAAGTTTTTATAATAGCTATTATAGATGAAAGAAAGTAACTAATATATCTGAAAATTATTTGTATTTACAGAATATTATTGATAATATCAAGTCTCTAAATGATATTGAAGATTCATTAATAAAGCAAGGAACATTGCCTATGGACAAAATGTATGTGTTGAATATTTAATTTATAAAATGTATATATATATATATATATACACAGCTTGACATATAATTTAAAAAACATCCTGCACCATATCAAATATAAATATTTTTTTAAATACATATTTTTAGCGATCTAATAGGTGTGTCGTGGTTGTCAAAGAAAAATATTGAAAAACTATTTCTTGAAAATATTAACGATATTGAGGTAAATAATATTAATATTAATTAGTTATAGAAAACTTAAACAAAATTGTAACATGTGATTTAACTCAAAAATGTATAATAATCTTTTCAGTACAATTATTTTATTGCGTCATTAGAACGACTATGTGATCATCCACTATCAAGACGTGCAGTAGATTTCATTTTTAAATATTGTAGAAGACGTATCCAATCTAAGGAGATAGTAGTATTACCCGTAAGTATCTATATAATGAAAATAAAGTTTCAATTAATGTAAAGGTTTATTATTACATGTTAAGTTGGAACATGACAGCACAGGAAGGCCATATGTCACAGTCAAAAGTAAGTAAACATAATTTTAACATTCACAGAAGATTAGCAAGAATATATGTATCATAAAATTCATTATTGTTAATGATTTCAGATTGCATGAGGAAGTCTGCAAGAGGTGAAGTAACAATTTGGGGTAATGGCTCTGGTAAGATTGTCATTAATGGACACGACATCGCATACTTTGAAGATTTTCAGCATCGCCAACAGGTGAGTTATTCCTTGCTTAAATCCTTGTAAGAAAAGTCGGTACTAAATTTTCAATAAATAATATATCAAGTTTTTATGTAAATCTTTAGAAATTGTAACATAATTCGGTTAGAGATAATTTCTATTATTTATATTAAAATAAGATATATAATTTGTATGCACTCTAGTTCACTTTTTTTTTTAAATAATATTTTAACTTTTCCAATAGCAATTTTTTCTCAAACTTTGACTCAAGCGAATTATCATGCAATATTTTTTTAGTTTTTAAATTGGATATTGATTATGGTAATAGATTTTCAATGTTTTCTTCGCTGCATATTCAGATATCTGAACAATTATAGGCGTAATAATGTGCTTATTCAAGAAACCTAAAGCCCGATGTCCACTATACTACTCCGAGATCTCGGACAGAGAAAAAATTAACAAATCACATTTGAACAATTTGATCACGTAACTATTGCGATTGGTCAATTCTTTCTTCATCTGATGTCTCGGACCGGATTTCTAGCATCGTGGATACAAGACTTAAGAATAGAATACTTATATGATAACATTAAGTATTACTTAATAAGTGAAAGTTTGCATTAAAGAACTCTTAAAAATATTTTAAAATTATTTCATGTGTCAATTTTTGACATTCTGCTTATTGGATAACTAAAAAAATTACAAAAATTCCAAAATGGTGAAGAACTTTTCAACTCGGTTTGCTCTGTCCACAAGCGGTATGTCAAATAATTTGCGATACCCTATATAATGTTTCATTTTTCATGGAATTTTCGAAAACATGTTCCAATACATACATAATACTATTACATTACATTTTACACAAATGGTTCTAGTTTTTTTATCAATGCCTTTAAAATTACGCATATGACATCGTCTAACAACACTCCATGTAGCCACGCGCCTCGATAGCGTTTCTAGGGTTATTTGTGTTATTCTATCCTTGTTTCACATCTAATAAACAATGATAGAATGACATAAATAGCGTTTTTCTGAACGCACCTTCTGCGTACGAGGAAAGAGATGGAGTGAAGGAGGAAGGGGTGGAAGGAGAGAGAAACATTCCATAGGTACATAGTCACATCATGATTTAAAAAAAATGGCATTAGATCAAAAACAACAAATTCTCAAAATCGTTATTTTTCTCAAAATTGTGATAGCCGAATTTTGACAACGGATTTTTGCTCGACAAGTAAAAATACGTCGGAAATTATTCACTTGTAAATAACTTTTTTAATAATACGTAAATAATTTTTTTAATCTTATAATATTATAACATTATGATATTATAACATTATTTATTATAACATCTTCCAATTGAAGTTCAGACAATTTTTTTTAAAACTAGCCGTGATTAGTTTAAACTGAATAACTTAATAATTATCAAAGATACGATTTTTTAAAGATTCTGGGTCATATATGACCCACTAGATCTGAAAGAATTAAAAAATATATATATTCGTCTCGAATCAGAAGAATCATATATTTGGAGGATGAATACAGCACTGAAGAAGAAATATATTTTTATTTAATATCTTTTTATAATACGTATTGTGAAGAATGTGAAGCATGAAAAATATGCGGTGTCCTTCAGGGAAGACGATTTTTTTGTACGCATTTCTGGTAGCCGATCTCATCCAATATATGTACTATCTAAATCTCTTTCGTTGGTATAACCGGTGGAGTTAGTCGCATGCTGCACACTCTCTCGTTCTCAGTATTAATCGGTCTGGCGAAAGAACGAGGTGCAATTGAGACGATTATCAATGTCCTCTACCGCGCTTCATCTCATATCGTAAATGCGTAAGGTACTTCTTCACTTTAAAACCTCTGCTTATAATACCGATCACATACTTGATACTTAATAAGAGTCATTAAATTAAGTTCGAGATTTATTGCAAAAGCATTAACAGTTTATTGAATACTAACAGATAGCGGCTCACTGTTGATTTGATTAATATATAAATCCGACACAAAGGACATCTCTCTCATGACGTTATGTTTACTTATGTATAATTGAAACTTCTATTTATTTTCACGTTTAATATCTATTTACGCCTTTTTCATTTTATTTTTATTTAGTTTCACATTTAATTTTTATTTATGATGAACATTTTTTTAAATTTATCTTTAGATAGATTTGTATTTTTATATTTTCATATAAATAGTTTCTATTTTTTGGTCTAAACATAATAGCGAAAATATTTAAATTTCTTATAATTGTTTAATATTTAGTCAAGTCGATAAAACCTATTTTTATTAATAAATTCATATAAGGGCTAAAAGAGCCAAGCACGTTATTGGTGCAAAAGAATATATTACAAATATCTTCCAAACGTTTCTCAATGGAGCCATCTTCAGTGAATCACTTACATTACTAATGTTCTTATCTTTTTTCATCTATGATTTATTAACGCCATTAGATTAACATAAATAAAAACTTGTCGCCAATTATTTTATGCCAGAACGCATTCTATTTTTATTGTTGCGTAAACGAACAAAATGTTATTGCAAAGATTTATTGCTTTTCGTTAGATTCATAGATTTTTTTGTTATGAGTATTAATATTGTCATCAATATATGATCTGTACGATATTTTTTTGTTTCTCATAAGTGGGACATAATTACCGCCAATTCAATCAGATAACAGACTATCCTCCATGATTATTTAAGCAATTTTCTAATTAACTTTTGCAAGAGTCATGCGATATGCTTTGTGTTGGATTTCGATGTTACAACGTTAAAGCGTTTATAAAGTGTACCGCCAAACTTTGAGTCGTAATTTTTGCATTGAAATAGAAAAAAAAAAGAAAAAGAAATATACATTCCAAAATTCATATTTCTTCCTATGTTATTAATCCTTTAAAAAATTAAGAAATCATTAACAAATATTAATTATTTAATCTTTTATATAAAATATACGAGTTTTAGAATATACTGAAGAGTAATATTCTTTGGATCGCCTCCAATTTGGCTTATATAGTGTTTTTTAATTTAGTATTCGGAATGTAGAATCACGTAGAAAAGAAATTATGTTCTGAGGGAATCATTCTAAGTTATGGTGAATCGTTATTTTTCAGTGAAAATCGAAAGATCTGCAAATCCTCATATAAGCCATAAATTGAGTGAACACTACCAATTTGGTTTTTTTTTTCGTTTTTTTTTTTATCGTAATCTTAAGAGAAAAATTTTATTTTTTATTGAATATAAAGTATTTTCTATATAAATTTTATACCAAATAATGGATAAGTAAAACAGATGTTTTATTAATATAAAGTCATCATTTTCATCTTCATTTTTATCTTAATTTTTATCAAAATTATCGACCAAATCATTTAAAAGAACTTCAACATAAGTTTGTTTACGTCATATTCTCAGGGTCCTACTATAGCTCTTACTCCACCGCGCTTGTTGGAGTGAATAAGAACTATGATATATTTATATTCAATAAAAAATAACATTTTTCTCTGAAGATCACAATAAGAAGGACATAAAAAGATCAAAATGGATGTTCTCAATTTATTTATATTTAATATATTTTATTTATATGAGGATTTATAGATTTTCCGATTTTCACTGAAAAATAACGATTCACTATAACTTTGAATGATTCCTTCGGCACATAATTTCTTTTCTACGTGATTCTACATTCCAAATACTAAATAAAGAACACTAAATGAGTTAAATTGGAGGCGGCCCTAAAGAGTAGCGTTACTCTTGAGATTAATTTAATTATCTATTTTGTTTTATTTTAGATTCATAACTTTAAAAGACCGTATGTACAAAATATTATATGCTTTCACTTATTTCGACAGAAAGATTATTTGACGCTACAAATATTTATATAGTTCTGGCATTTTAAACGCCCTATCTTTCATTTCCTGTAATAAATTTGGGTAATTATTAAAATAATATTTGTTACATGTTTTTACATGTTTCGATTAAATATTAAGACTTTTTTGAATAGTGTTAAATAGGTAATATCACATTTATAGGTAATTGAACTTAATACGGCAACAGGTGGAGATAGTTGATAGTCTCAGCAAATTCGTATCATTCTTGTCGAAAAAGAGATGGAAGAAACTGAAGAAAGAGTACCAAAAACTGTTCCAAATATGTTGACACGCATGAGTACGGCTTCCTTGTTTCTAACTCGACTAAAGGCTAAACGCTCATCGTCTAAGCAAGATGACAATGAGCTCGAAAGTGGTCGAGTTCAATATGAACCATCATTACCCGATGACTCAATAAGTCCTTCCATGGAAGATTACTTCATCATCAGTGAACATACCACTTCCGATGAAATCGACCGTACTTCGCTACGCATCAATGAAGATCTCATTAAAAATATTCTCACGGAACACAAAAGGCATATGGGTTATAAATCACAAATTTTGGAGAATCTAGAATCAGGCAAAATGGATGAAATAAATGTAAACACGATTTTTGTCGACATCAAGTCTAATGAAGTCAACATCTTATTGTTACAAGCAAGTTTTTTAGGTCGTATGAATCTCATTCATCATTTGTGCAAATGTGGAGCCAATATTAATTACACCGAACCTAATCATGGTCTTACCCCTTTGCATTTATGTGCCTTTCGGAACTGTCTGGATGGAGTCAAATATTTGATAGAACAAGGCGCGAGCGTGGATACCAAATCGAAGCACACGGCGTTTCATTACGCTGCTTTTGGAGATGCCTTCGACGTAGCTCAGTATTTCATGCAACGAGGTATTAGTCAGCTATCTCCATATGAAGCTGAAGAAACTGTATTGCATGTGGCTGCACGGACTAACGCCTTGCGTGTACTTTCTTTACTGGCACCGAACAATAAGGAACTGAATCGTTTGGATCAGGACGGATACGCCGCTATTCATCATGCAGCCAACGGCGGAGATAAAGTTTGTTTGGATATACTTCTGAAAGCCGGTTATCAAGTGGATTTACTTACCAGAAAGAACGACACTGCTTTGCACTTGGCTGCGGAAGTTGGTTGCGTGGATAACTTGGCTCTTTTGATCAAGGCGAACGCTAATCTTCAACTGAAGAACCATCGAGGACACACGGCCTTGCATTTAGCCGCTCGTTCGCATTCTCTGGAATGCGTAGAGATTTTACTGAAAAGTCGCGCAGATCCTAACGTGGAAGATAACGAGGGTCGGACATCTCTGCATCTGGCTCTAGGTAAGTCTCTGATGACCGACGACATCACTGAGCTCCTGCTGAAATGGCGGGCGGATGTAAATAAGGCAGACAAGTACGGTTATACGCCTCTACACATCGCTGCATCGAACGAGCTATCACGATGCGTGAATCTATTGATAAAACACGAAGCGGATCTCAGTGCCAGGACCATCGGTGGTAACAGT